GTAGTAGCAAAAAAAAAAATCCCAAATAGTAGTAGTAGTAGTAGGTAGTAGTAGTATAGTAATAGTGGTAGTTCGTAGTAGTTAGTAGTAGTAGTAGTAGTAGTAGGAGGAGGAGGAGGAAGGAGGGGGAGGACAGGAGGAGGTGGAAGAGGAGGAGGAGGAAGAGGAGGAGGAGGAGGAGGAGGAGGAAGAGAAGCGAGGAGGAAGTGTGTAGAAGGCAGGTGGAGGAGGAGAGAAGCGGAGGAGGAGGAGGAGGAGGAGGAAAAGGTGAGGAGGAGGAGGAAGAGTACGATGAGGCGGAGGAGGAGAAGGATGAGGAGGAGGAGGAGGAGGAGGAGGAGGAGGAGGAGTAGGAGGAGGAGACAGCGGAGGAGGAAGAGGTGGCAGAGGAGGAGGAGGAGGAAGCAAAGGAGGAGGAAGAGGAGAAGGAGGAGGAAAGAGAGGAGAAGAACAAGGTACTGGCTGGGAGCGGCCGCGCAGTCACCGAAAGGGAGGAGGAGAATGAGGAAATGGAGGAGCAGGAGGAGGATGAGGAGGAGGATGAGGAAAAGGAAGAGGAGGAGGAGGAGGAGGAGAAGGAGCATAATGAGGAGGAGGAGGAGAAGGAGGGGGAAGAGAAAGAGAAGGAGGAGGAGGAGGAGGAGGAGGAGACGGAAGATCAGGAGGAGGAGGAAGGGGAGGAGGGAGGAGGAGGAGGAAGATTTCCAGGATTTCCGCCATCACGTAGTGATAGCCAGGCTAAGCTCAGCACTTGGGAAACAGGTCGCGATCGATCCTATCCAGATACTCGCGCCTGGCCTTGGTGATTCAGTGGGGTTGACAAGGATTACCTAAGCCCCTGAGCTGGGCCATACCGAAAAATCCGCAAGCCCTACAAATCATGTTCCAAGGTCTTTGTGAAACCGAAGGGCGTGTGAGGGGTGCGTCCAGCCACCAGCCAAGTGTAAACTCCGTCCGACGGGAGCCCCGGATAACTTCGCATTCGCTGGAAGCGGGGGCACGCACTCGCTTTTTAGCCATTTGGACTCCTTAAGCTGAGAAGTCGAACTGAAGCGGACCGAACACGCTCTGTCATTTTCGGTCAGGGTGCGGGCAGTCGCAAAGCGTGCAAGGGCCTTGGGTGGCGGAGGCCTCGGAGCAGGAGGGTCCACAGGATCACTAGGGGGTCCCGAGGCTTCCTTGGACCCTTGAGCAGCAACAGTGGATCCTAACCCTACTCTGAGAAGCCGTTTCCTCACCCACCGAGCCTTGCGCTCAACACGGTGCACATTATATCTATCGGCTTCGGGAACTCTGGCCTTATCGACCGCAGCTCCAGCTAACACATGTACACGCACGTTACCTTGAATAAGCCAACTGTCCCACCCTTGCTCGACGACTTCCTGCGCCGTGAGGTGGGGCGGGATTTGAATCACTGATACATCGCCGATGCTGCGCCCTTGTTGTACAAGAGTGATCCCGATAAAACGCCACAAGTCAGCCTGGGGGCCAAAAGGGCTCTGGGAGGCGCCCGCGTACCACCCCCTGGCGACCTCGGCGCAGTCAGTAATATACACGACAAGGCCGAGGGAAACGCGAATGCACCAGGCGAACGCCTGGAGCCCCCCCCTCGGGACCGATTGTGCTGGCCCCGCTAGGGGCCCGAAAAGATGGGCCCCCAGGACGCACGGCGAACAACTAGTGAAAACAGCCACGTCACTGCCTACGCGACGGAGCCTACTGTCATGCGTGTCCTTGCCCCCTGAGGCGTCCCCGAACGCCAGGAACGGGGGGCTGACGCTCCCCTGGCCCAGGCACCCAGGACCGAGGCGCCCGTGGACCAGATTTCCACCGAGAAAGCATTCCTCCGTCGCAGGTGGCGTGACCTCAGTCCAGGCACTGGGGATGACGCCTCGCATCCAAAAACAGGGACACGATTCGTGCACGGCGGTGGCCTCGCCCACCAGCTCGTCTGACTGCGAACACGCTGGTGGGCCTCTGTTTTTCTTACACAGCCAAAGTGCGGTGGAGAGGCGTGCCTGGCCCCTCGGCGCACCGTTCGCACACGTCCGACTGAACCAGCTTGGCCCCTAGCTGCCTCTGCTGCGTCCAGTACCCGCCTGTGGCGATCGTGGCCATGGGCTCCGATAACTGACGGCCTCGCTTCGCATGCAACAGCGAGGCGATGAAGGGCCTGTAGCTCCACCAATCTGCTCCCTGCTCCAGCCCGCCACCACAGCAGAGCCCCGAGGCCTCCTGCCCCACTACTCACTACCCAGTACTCACTACCCACTACTCATTACTCCCTACTCCCTACTCAGTACTCACTACTCGCTACTCGCTAATCACTACTCACTACTCACTAATCGCAACTCACTGCTCACTTATCAGTAAATACTACCCACTATTCACTACTCACTACTCCCCACTCCCTACTCCCTACTCCCTACGCGCCACTCACTACCCACTACTCACTACCCACTCACTACTCACTACGCACTAACTCACTACTCACCACTTACTACTCCCTACTCCCAACTCCGTACTACCTACACACCTTCTCCGGCGCAGAAAGGAGAAGCGAGAGAGGCCCCCCCTCCCCGGCTCCCTTTCCGGCGCAAAGGGGGGGAGGGGGGGGAGGGGTCCGACCCCCCCCCCCCTTTCCAGCGCCAAGGGGGGGAGGGGGGGGGGGGGGGGGGGGGGGGGTCGGAAGGGGGGGGGAGGGGTGGGGGGTCGAAAATCTCACCCCCCCTTGGAAGGGGGGAAGGGGGGGGGGGTTCTGCGAGCCCCCCCCCCCCTTTTGTGTATTCAGGGAGATCCACTGGCGCGCTTTCATAATTATGGGCTGGCGGGGGCCGACATGGCTCCCGATGTGTGTTGTCACGTGCGCAGGCGCACCTGACGCACTCTGCACGAGCACCGAACATGGCGCACTTGGCGCGGCTGGAGTGTGCGGCGCACCTGGCTCACTCGGAGCACGTGGCGCATCTGGCGCAACAGGCGTGCCTGGCACGCTCGGGCCCCAGGGGTGCCTGGCGCGCGTGGCGCCCCTGGCACGCGTGGCGCACCTCGCCCAAGCGTCGCGCACCTGGGGTCAGCTTTGGTTCCCAGTAGCTGTCCATCCAAAGACGACCGCTGAACATGCTTAGGCTCGGGTGTTACTTATGTGTTGGGAGGGCGGGTGGGAGTGAGCTTGACGGCTTGTGGGCGGGTGGGTAACTTGACCCTTCCCCCTACCCCCTCCCTGGGCCTGGGAGGAGGGGGGCGCGGGTAGTTAGAGCGCCCAAGATGGCCCAAGATGGCTCCAAGAGGGTCTCAGGGAGAATCTGTAGAAAAAAGAATCTATCTGGGCGGCGAAAAGGCGGCGACGGCGGCATCATAGCCGCCAGACCGACAGGCAGGCCCACACCACGGGCGGTGACGGGGCGGCGACGGCGGCAACATAGCCGCCAGAGTGGCACACCGGCCTCGACAACTGGCGGCGACGAGGCGGCGGCGGCTAGATAGCCGCCAGAACGACACACAAGCCCAGACCACGGGCGGCGACGGGGCGGCGACGGCGGCAACATAGCCGCCAGAGCGGCGCACTGGCCCAGACGACGGGCGGCGACGAGGCGGCGGCGGCGATTAGATAGCCGCCAGAACGACACACAGGCCCAGACGACGAGCGGCGACGAGGCAACGACGGGGCGGCGACGGCGGCCATATAGCCGCCAGACCGACACACCAGCCCAGCTCCGTAGGGGAGAAATAAGAAACCCTAGGTGCAGGCACGGCCTGGTGAAAAACACCATTTGACACTGCCAACAAAAACATAATCAAAGTTTGTCGGGGACAACGCTCTTGGCAGGCTCTCTCGCCCACCCCGCACCCCACGCCAGACTTTAGCCAGATCCCGAACACCTTGGATTTTCTTGGTAGTATCACCTTTTGTGTTTGTTGGGTCGTGCCACACGTTTCGTTGCTCGAAGGTGAAAGAAATCTTTGACTGTCAGTGAAAAAAGGATCAACTCCAATAGGACACCACTAATCCTGGAGACGCTCCAGAAAACATATAAACAACAAGGAAGTGCAAATAAAACACTCCTCGCGCGAAGGGCAGGCCCTCATCCTCCTCTTCCTCCGACCCCAATCTCTCTCCCTCTCTCCATCTCTCTCTATCTCTCTCCCTCTCTGCTTCTCAAAACAATTGTATACCTCCTCCCGCACCAGAGGGAAACATTCAAACACAACATCTCCCTTTCTTTCTCTCTACTTCTCTCTCTTTCGTTGGCTCAATATTTCGCTACCTCTCTGCCTCTCTCCTCTCTCTCTCTCTATCCCTCTCTCTCTCTTCTCTGTTTTTCTTTCGCACCCTTCAATCTCCATCTCTCTCTCTCTCTCTCTCTTTATGTTTGTTATTTCTATGTGTGTTCTCTCTCTGAGCCTCTCTCTCATATGCATGTGTGTAGACCTTTATGTATACACAAGGACTGGGAGAGGGAAGATAAAGAGAGGGAGGGAGACTGAAGAGGGAAATATAACAACAGAGAGAGAGAGGTAGAGAGAGAGAGAGAGATATCATAAATGACGAGCAGGGAGCAGGACGAGGGGTATGAGGAGGTGGGGTAAGAGTACAGTAGCAGTAGGAAAAGGCGGGCGAGGGATGAAGTCTTCGGTGAGGAACAGACAACGTTCGAGGCGGGCCAGCACTGTTACGTCGGAGGGTACCCTCCCAAGGATGCACAAGAACATCCAACAGGCACCAAGAACATTAGGGTACCATCCCCGAAGTGACCTCGATCTTCTACCTCGGTCTGACTGTATCAACCCCAACATGTCTGGTGGAGGACAAGCCAGGGGAGCCCCAACGGTTCCCATGGGACCCCCAGGAGGCCCAGGATGATGGCCACCAGCTCTGTTGCTCCTGATGATTTGAACACTTTCGGCGCAGCCTACCTGGGGAACAACATACGTACATTGAAATTGACGTTATGCGATCGAAATTGGGAGCCGGAGGCACCTGTACTCCCTACCCTGGAGAGCCTCGATCGGATTGCAATCTTTGTGAGAAGCCAAGCCAGCGCGCCTCCCGCGGCGGAGGAAGAGGAGCATCGGGGTCACGGGGATGTGGGAGTTGCGGCGCGAGCTCTTTTGCCAATCCCGCCGCTCACGCCGCTGGGAGTAATCGGACGCGCGTGTGCAGCTCAGCGCGGCGGACCTCTACACCGCCCCGCCCCAGCAGGACAGGCCCATGGCTGGTGCACACTGCTCTCGGAGCCCATGGAGCGCCACCTCCCCACAGCCCCCTGACGGCGGCGTGCGCCTAGATGCACCAGGCCAGCGCCTACAACGAACGTGGCCATTCATCCCAAATCGAATGGCCCAAACACAAAAAACATAATCACCCTGTGACCTACGCAGGGCCAGCGAAGCTCGGGTGCGTGATCCCAGACCCCCGACGTAATGATTTGTCCAGAACGTCGACCCCCACAGGTCTCGATGCATTTCCAAGCACCGGCCTCTTATTCGAAGTAACTTTTCATGGACATGCGGCCCAGTAAGGGCCCCCGGAGGCTGAAAATAGCGAGACCTCTCTGATTTCATGATTTTTCGCATCCCGAGGGGGTCTGGGATTAAGCGGGGAGAAGAGATGCGGACAGGAGCGCCCAGGATCGAATGGATAAGTCGGATCGGCGATCGAAATGAAACGGATCGGTGGAAATCGTCAGCCAAGCAGGGAGAAGTCGAATCGCCGGAAATGGGCAGGTCAATAAGGCCTCCACTGAGAAACCAAGACGCAAGTCGGAGTCCGATGCCGGAGCGAGTCGGTAACATAATCGATCGACATCGGATCGAATCAAGTCGGAGAAATCGAAATGAGCCCTGAGGGGGTCTGGGAGCAGGGACCGACCGTCCCGGCATTCCTATAGACCTACCACGAAATCTTCTTAGAACCCAGAAATGTTCTGATAACAAACACAATGTCCTTAGAACATGAACCCGATGTGTTAACACAAGACAGACTCAGCCAGAAATGTTCTAAGAACATTTCGTGCAAACCACAGAAGCTTCTGAGAACATTCCTTGGTGGGCCTATCGGCGAGCCGGGACGCTTCGCCACTGCCTGAGGTCTGGGATTGAGCGGGGAGGGGAGAGGCGGAGGGCCGAGTCGGAGAGGAGGCGCTGGGCGCGCCTGGGCCGCACACCTCGGGCATTCCGGCGCGGCCGGCAGGGCACTCAGCATGGCCCCCCGCCATGCCTGCGCCCATTCGCACGGTGCCTGCCGCCACGCGCCTGCAGCGAATGGCCCTCGCCCTCAGAGCGGGGGGCACGCGCACAGCCCACGCTCCTCAGATCCAGGCGTTGTCGTCTTGTCGCAACGGGCGGGGGTGGTGGTGGTAGTTAGTTGGTGTGAGATAGTGACGAGATTCCATGTGAGCTGCTTTGGGCATTGGGTATAGCGCTCGCCAGCTTTCGGGCCCTGGGACCCTTCCAGATCGAGCCGGCGCGCAAAAGTGCGCAGGAAGATGGGGTCCGGGGCTCCAGTGGTGTTTTTTTTGCGAGGTTGCAACATGTGCTTTGCAACGTCAGATCTGGGGGGGGGGGCTGGCTCGCTCCCCCCACGGCGCAGCCGCCCACGCCCCCACTCACATCTCCGTCCTCCTTCCACGGCATCCGCCGACGTGACCTGTTCAGTCCGCAGCCCCAGAGAAGCCCAGACCGCGTCCCCGGGGGTAGCTTCTTCGGGACTGCGGAGAACATGAATTACATCAGAGAACAAGCCCCAATCAATGGATGGTTCGATCGATAAGGAGATCGACCGGGAACCCGGGAACCCATAACCCACCGCAATCGGCCCTGAATTAGGAACCCGGGAACCTGGAACCGGGAACCCAGCGGGCCACCAAAATCGGCAGGACACTTTCGCCAAGTCTTTCAAGTCAAGTTCCGCTGGGGAACCCAGGAACCCAGCCGGCCACCCAAATCGGCAGGACACTTACGCCAAATCTTCCAGTTCCCGCTAGGACCCCTTCAGTGCAAGCCCTCATTGGGGAATGAACCTGCACGTCTGCGAGACTCGCTGCGGTGGACGAAACCACGCGTGGCGACCAACCACATCGCACGACGCCGAGGCTCGGGTGACCCCGCCTCTCGCCAGAAAGAAGAATGACACGGACGTGCTCGTCGCTGCAGCGGCCCCGTGCGGGCATGGCCTCTCGCCAGTGCGGCTGGGGGTAGCTTCTTCCGACCCCGAGCCGTGCTTGATCGTCCCGGGGCCCGAAGAGGGCCCCGAGGGCCGCGGAATCGGGAAAGAACGCGGGTCGAACAGCCACTGAAATCTGCGACCGCGGCGCCCCGGTCCAGAAGCGGCGACAACAGAACCGCGCGCCGTGCTCTGCTTTTCACGACGCGATGGGCTCTGCCAAGACCCCCGACGTCGTGATTTTTCCGCCACGTTGAACCCCCAGAGGCCTCGACCCCTTCCCCGGGACTGGATCTTTATATCCTGCGTCGTTTTTCGGCGCGCGACCTCCGCGGGGGCCGCGGGGAGGCCAGAGCCGAGCGCGCAAGCCGCTGCTTGCGCATCGCGCTCAGTCCTCTGGGGGGCCCAGCGCGCCCGCACCCCCCGTCCTCCTCCTCCTCCTCCTCCTCCTCCTCCTCCTCCTCCTCCCCCTCCTCCTCCCCCTCCTCCTCCTCCCCCTCCTCCTCCTCCTCCTCCTCCTCCTCCTCCTCCTCCTCCTCCTCCTCCTCCTCAAGGTCACTCCTGCGAACGGCCACTCTCGCGTGTAACTATAGCCGCTGGGGCGCCCACGGGGCAGTGGCCACGAGGCGCTCAGCTGGCGATGGCGTCCCCCGGGACGACGTTCGGGTGCTTGATCAGCACGCGCCCCTCGGGCCTCAGGGGGTCCTCCGCGGGCCGCACCACCACGATGACGCGGTCCTTGTCGATCATCCTGTTGATCACCGCCTGGATCAGGTGCTGCTGCTCCAGGAGCTGGACCTGCGTCTGGATGCTGTCCTCGATCTGCTCCATGTACCACGTGATGAGGTCACCCTCCTTCACCTCCACGTCAGCGGCGAGCTGCTGCGCCAAGTACCGAATGAGCATCTGGCCGATCCTGAACGGACGAAGAAAAACACCAGACACATGTTTCCGTCATCGGGGACGCCTGTCCCACCCCTGAGATCCGACGGCGCGAAAAAATGCAACAATGTGAAACATCACGCCGTCAGCCCCAGGCTCCATCTGTCCGCCCAATTTTCGGAGCCAAATCGATCTCTGAGGGCCCCAGGGCCCGAAACCTGACGCAAACGCCCGGCTCGAAAAAGTTGAGACGCCAAGATCTCAGGGAATGCGGCTGAACAATTTACAGTCTTGAGCTTTTGCTCAGCGTGTCGCGGCGGCCCCGACAAGACGCCATGCCTGCGAGCGGATAGCGGTTCGCTCCGCTCCGGGGGGCGGGAGGCTGGGAAAGGCTCGGGGACTGGGGCGTGGTCAGCGTGTCGCGTCCAGGCGTGGAAGGCCAGAACCGGCGGCGCGAGACTCTGGGCAAACGTTCCCGACCTTCTACCCACACGGCCATTTCTTTTCGTGACGACCGCGGCGCTGGTTTCTGAAACCGCGAGGATCGTTCCACCTTGCACGATCGGCAATTTTCTGCTCGCCAGGTCGCTCCACACTGGCCGATCGTGGGCCGGTGGGGGCGTTCAATCTTGAGCGCCCGCGGCGACGCCGTCGCCGCGCCGGCACGACGCGAACCTGCCATAGGGCGGCACCCGTGGGGGTAATGTCTTGAGCCGTCCTGGGGCAGGCGTCCCCGCTGGATGCAGCAAGTTACCACGTAGCCTCCCGCCTTGCAGATACAGTCGGGCTCGATTGGACAGGACACGCGAGAGTACACAAGACCCTTCCGAGGGCCACATCGCAATTGGAGTGTAAGAAGGCACGTGCCGCGGGGCACAGGACACAAGGGTACCTACCCTTGAGCTGGCAGGGTCGACCTACTAATCTGGGCCGACTGTATTACGTAGCCTCCCGCCTTGCGGAAAAGTGTGAGGGGGCGGGCGCTGGGTGGATCGTGGGTGGGTCGCGGGGTGAATCGCCAGTGGGTCGCGGGGTGGGTCGCCAGTGGGTCGCGGGCGAGGAAGGCAACAGCAGCAACAACTCAACATCAACAACAATAATGACAACACTCATTTTAAGACTGATCGTTTTTTTTTATCTGCTCGCGTGCCATTCAACACGTGTATCCAAAACCCTCGGTACCCGCCCTCGTCGTCTTCGATCGTGTCCCCTCTTGGGTGTATATCTTTCCTACCTGCCGCGTGTAGTTGGCGCGCCCAATGAAAACAGGGGAAGGAAGGGAGGAGTGAGGAGACAGGGGGGGGATAATAATGGAACACGAAAGAAATGTGCAGGAGGATTGGGAGCAGCATCGCAAGCGGCAGAGCCTGCCTGGCGCGTCGGGCGGGTGGACCCTAACGGGCAGGTCGGGCGGGCGGGCCCAGACGGCCAGGTCGAGCGGGCGGGGCGCTAAAGCGTCAAACCATCATGAAAGAAATTGCGAGCGATGACGCGATTCCCATGTAATCGATGAGGAGTCCAAGGCGGGAGCGTGATTTGTTATAAATTGTAAGGAAACGCAGCTCGAGAGCGCGAATCCTGGATACATTCTGAGGAAATCCCGCGCGAGAGCGCGAATTTGACATACATTGTGAGGACGTCTCAGGCGGGAGCCGTTGTTGCAATTGTTGATAATGTTGTTGTTGTTGTTGGTGTTATTGTTGTTGTTGATGATGATGATGATGTTGTTGCTGCACTCTCATGTCTGAAACAAAACATAATTATTGTTGATCCCCCCACCGGTGCATAATGTTTTTATCAATCAAAGTGTGCCCCTCGACGCTCGCATCGTGTTTTCTGACATTGATGCTCAAACTGTGCCCCTGGCCCCCGGGTTGCAACAACAACGGCTCCCGCCTGAGACTTCCTCACAATTTAGCCAGGACCCCCGCTCCCGCCCGAGAATTCCTCGCGTTTTACTCAGGAATCGCGCTCTCGCTTGGGACTTCCTTGCAATTTATGCAGGGATCGCTCTCCCGGCGCTCTGGAGTCGCGCTCTCGCTGGAGACTTGCTTGCAATTTACTGGCGAATAGCGCCCTTGCGTTGAATTTTCCTGTAATTTACTGAGGCGCCACGCTCCCGACAACCAGGCACCCAGGAGTCGCGGTCATGCTCAGGACTCCCCCACAAATTACCTAGGAATCGGGATTTCGCTGCCCTTCGTGACCCCGTTGCAGCCCTTCGTGGCCCCCTCGATTTGTTTCGTGGCCCCGTTGCAGCCCTTCGTGGAACCCTCGCTTTGATTCGTGGCCCCGTTGCAGGCCGTCGTGGCCTCCTCGCTGCCCTTCGTGGCCCCGTTGCAGCCCTTCGTTGCCCTTCGTGGCCCCGTTGCAGCCCTTCGTGGCCCCGTTGCAGCCCTTCGTGGCCCCCTCGCTCCCCTTCGTGGCCCCGTTGCAGCCCTTCGTGGCCCCTTCGCTGCCCTTCGTGGCCCCATGTATGTATGCCCTTCGTGGCCCCCGCTCGCTCGCGCCCGTGGTGGCCCCATATGCATGCCCTTCGTGGCCCCGCTGTCGCCCTTCGTGGCCCCCTCGCTGCCCTTCGTGGCCCCGTCGCTGCCCTCAGTGGCCCCGTCCTTGCCCTCCGCGGCCCAACATACGCATGCCATTCGTGGTCCCCGCTCGTTCGCGCCCGTTGTGGCCCCACGTGCATGCCCTTCGTGGCCCCGCTGTCGCCGGTTGTGGCCCCCTCACTGTCCTACGTGGCCCACTTGCTACCCTCAGTAGCCCCATCGTTGCCCTCTGACGCCCCGCATTATCCGCCGACCCCTTGTGGGTCTCTAGGCGTGTGAAATGGTTCCCCCCCCATACCCCCCCCCCCCAAGGGACCCCAAACCGGAGATTTGACCCCCCCCCCCGGCCCCGGGGCACCCATGCCCGAACGCGCCGTGGGGGAGCAGAGGGCCCCACAACGGGCCAAAAGCGCACCAACGGGCCCCCGAGACGGTCCAAGAAGGCCCCGAGTCGCCGAAAGATCGAGCCAAGACGCCCAAGATGGCATCCAGACGATCTCAGATGCCTCCACGACGCTCCCAGACGCGTCCACAAGGCTTTCATATGCGACCAAGAGGCGCCCCAAGAGGTCCCCAACAAGCAAAACTCATCCATTTCCGATGGGGAAACGCACCTTTCTGATATATGCGGTCTTTGACCTGTCACGGCGTCGAAAACGGCTCCAGAAACTCACGAGACCGCCCCAAGACGGCCCAAGAAGCGCCCAAGAGGTCCCCACAAAGGCCCAAGAGGGCGCCAACACAGCCCAAGAGGCGCTCAAGACGGCACAAGAGGGCCCCAAGACAACCCCAAGAGGGGGACCACAAGCCGAAAATCCAAGCCACTCGCCCCGATAATGTCCCAGGAGGCTCCAAGAAGCCCCCAAGAGGCCCCCGAGAGAATCCCAAAAGGCCCCCAGAGGCCCCCAAGAGGCACCCAAGAGGCGCCCACAAGGCTCCAAGAGGCCCTCCAAACGTCCAAAAGAGGCCCCCAGAGATCCCAAAACGGCTTCCCAAAGGCTTCGAAACTGCCTCCGCGAATCGCGCGAAAAGCCAGACCCCCTTCCGCCTCTCGCCCATACTCCCTCCTCCTCCTCCTCCTCCTCTTCCTCCTCCTCCTCCTCCTCCTCCTCCTCCTCCTCCGCTTCTGCATTCTTTGCGTCCCTCTGTTCGTCGGCTTCGTCCTCCCACTCGCTCGGACCCCCTGCTCCTGCTCTACTGGCCATGGCACGGGCGCACTACAAGTATCATTTGCATGCTCGGGTGACCCGCCCGCCCAGGTAACCCACCCGCTCGGGTAACCCACCCGCTCGGGTGACCCGCCCGCCCGGGTGGAAGCGAAAAGGCTGGCTGCAACGGGGACACGAAGGGCTGCAACGGGGCCACGAAGGGCAGCGAGGGGGCCACGAAGGGCTGCAACGGGGCCACGAAACAAAGCGAGGGGGCCACGAAGGGCTGCAACGGGGCCACGAAGGGCAACGAGGAGGCCACGAAGGGCATGCATATGGGGCCACAAAACAAAGCGAGGGGGCCACGAAGGGCTGCAACGGGGCCACGAAACAAAGCGAGGGGGCCACGAAGGGCTGCAACGAGGCCACGAAGGGCAGCGATATCCCGATTCCTAAGTAATCTGTGAAGGGGCCCTAAGCGTGAGCGCGACTCCTGGGTGCCTGGGTGTCGGGAACAATAGGAAAAAATCAATGTGCACCGGTGAGGGGATCAACGATAATTATTCTTGAAGAATGAGAGTTCAACAACAACAACAACAACAACAACAACAACAACAACAACAACAACAACAACAACAATTACTAGCACGTGGGGACACTCCGTTCTCACCAGTGCCAGGGTTTTCATAGGAGGCGGGCAATACCCCCACTTTGTGGGGGGGCCGGTTCAAGCTCTACCACATTTCCAAACGACTCTTCGCCACCACCCACACCCAGCTTCCCGCCCTATGACGTTCGGACACCTCACTTCGTGGCCTGCGGACGACCTTGGCTACTACACTGGCGCATGGGTACAATGACTTGTTGTGGTAACATTTTCTGTAAGCTAGCTTAGTATACGACTTTTCCCCCTGCAATTGAAGATTTCGGCGTGCGCGCGCGAAGAAAAAACGAATGTGTCCCATATGGTATTATTTGACAGGGATGATGGCCCTGGCAGGCGCGCGACCGTTGTTGCAGAAGTTCGAAGCACGTGAAAAAGTTGCTCGCAAGAGCCCGTTTGACAGAAATGTTGAAAAAGTATGGGGTTTCCTAAGAAATCCGCAAGAGCGCGCGGGATTTTTTTTTTTTTTTTTTTTTTTTTTTTTTTTTTTTTTTTTTTTTTTTTTTTTTTTTTTTTTTTTTTTTTTTTTTTTTTTTTAAAAAAAAAAAAACATTAGGCATTTTTTTTGTTTTTTTTTTTTGTTTGTTTTTCATGTTTTTATGTTAAATTCGCTACGAAAACTAAGGTTTTGGAAGGATTTCATCTTGCGCGCGCGAGTGTGCACTTCGTGCCATTTTTTGCAAAGGATTCTTGAAGTTTGGTTATGTTAGAACAAGACATGTCATTTTATATTGTTTTTTGACAGGGAAAGCGGGCGTCAACAAAACAACTGGATCCGGACTCCCCCGTTTTGCCTGGGACTTCCTCACGAAAATGATGAAAAATGTGGCTGCGGCCTAGGCGCGGCGAGGGGGGCGTGCACCAGGGGGCCCAACAATAATTATTCTTTACAAGTAATAATATTCAACAACAACAACAACAACAACAACAACAACAACAACAACAACAACAACAACAACAACAACAACAACAACAACAACAACAACAACAATCCTATTAATATTGTTCGCTATATGCTCGAGTGGCCAATAACGAATATTTCCCAAACCCTTGATACCCGCCCTCTTCGTCTTCGATCGAACCCCTTTGGGGGGTATACCTTTCTTCCCTGCAGGCCGGGCCCCGGCAAGCGGCGGGGCGGCCGCGGACCGTCGGCCTGGCCAGCGGCAGCGCTGATCGGCGGGGCGGCCGCGGACCGTCGACCCGACCCCAAGAGGGACGGACAGGGGACCGACCACGACGACGAAGACGACGACGTCGAAGACGACGGCGACGACGACGGCGACGACGAGCGAAAGCGAGAGCGAGAGAGAACGACAGCAGGGCCACGAAGGGCACGAAGTAGGCCACCAAGGGCGACAGCGGGGACACAAAGGGAATGCGTATGGGGCCACGAAGAGCGCGAACAAGCGGGGGCCACGAAGTGCAGATAATGCGTGGCCACAGAAGGCAACTATGGGGCCACTGAGGGTAGCAACTGGGCCACGTAGGACAGTGAGGGGGACACACATGGCGACAGCGGGGCCGCGAAAGGCATGCAAATGGGGCCACAAGGGGCGCGACTCCTGGGTGCCTGGGTGTCGGGAGCGCGGCGCTTGGGCAAATTGTAGGGAATTACAACGCAAGGCCATTCTTCAGTAAGTTGCAAGCAAGTCTCCAGCGAGAGCGCGACTCCAGAGCGCCGGGAGAGCGATTCCTGATTAAAATGTAAGGAAATCCAAAGCGAGAGCGCGATTCCTGAGTGAAATGCGACGAAGTCTCGGGCGGGAGCGGGGGTCCTGGCTAAATTGCAAGGAGGTCTCAGGCGGGAGCCGTTGTTGTTGCAACCCAAGGGCCAGGGGGCCAGTTTGAGCAGGAAGACTTTCCCTGTCAAAAAACAAGGTGCGAGCGTCGAGGGGCACACTTTGATTGAGAAAAATCAGTATGCACCGGTGGCGGGGGATCAACAAAAATTATGCTTCAGAAGTGAGAATTCAACAACAACAACAATAACAACAACAACAACAACAACACCAACAACAACCACAACAACAACAACAACGACCAACAACAACACCACCACCACCACCACCAACAACAACAACAACAAGAACAACAAACAACAACAACAACAACAACAACAGCAGCAACAACAACAACAACCACAACAACAACAACAACAACACCAACAACAACAACAGCAGCAGCAACAACAACAACCATTTTAAGGCTGTGCGCTCTTACTTGCCCGCGAGTCATTCAACACGTATACACTACACCCTCGATACCCGCCCTCTTCGTCTTCGATCACACCCCTTTCGGGGGGATTATTTCTCTTTGCTGGGGCCGGCGGGCTTAGACGTACGGGCAAACCGGAACGGGCGGACAATCCTTCGGGGGCGTACATCTCTCTGCCCGCCATTGGAATTGGCGCGGGCCCTGCAAGAGGAGGAGGGGAAGAACGAGGGAGAGTGGGAGGAAGGGGAGGGGGAAGGACGAAGGAAGAGGGAAGATACCACGTTGTGAAGGCGTCCTTGGCGCGTGCGTGGTTCCTGAGCGCCGAAACGCAATTCCAGAATAATTTGTGAGGACGTCGCACGCGAGAGCGCAGTCCTGAGTACATTGTGAGGAAATCTCGGGCGGAAGCGGGGGCCCTGACTAAGTTGCGAGGAAGTCTCAAGCGGGAGCGCCGTTCCTGAGCAAATTGCACGGAAGTCTCAGGCGGGAGCGGGGGTCCTCACTAAATTGCGAGGAAGTCTCAGGCGGGAGCGCCGTTCCTGAGTCAATTGCGCGGAAATGTCAGGCAGGAGCGGGGGTCCTGAGTAAAATTCGAAGAAGTCTCACGCGGGAGCGCCGTTCCCACGTAAATTGCACGGAAATCTCAGGCGGGAGCGGGGGTCTTGTTTACATTGCGAGGAAGTCTCAGACGGGAGCGCCTTTCCTGAGTAAATTGCGCGGAAGTCTAAGGCGGGAGCGGGGGTCCTGAGTAAAAATCGAGGAAGTCTCAGGCGGGAGCCGTTGTTGTTGTAGCCTGGGGGGCAGGGGCACAGTTTGAGCAGGAAGACTTTCCTTGAGAAAAAACAAAGTGCGAGCCCCGTGGGTGGCACTTCAATCGAAAAAAATCAATGTGCACTGGTGGGGGGGATCAACAATAATTATTCTTCAAGAGTGAGAGTTCAGCGACACCAACAACGACACACAAAGTCCGAGCAGCGGAATCACACTTCAACCACGCACCCAAGGACAATGAATGACCGTACGGCCCCCTCACTCTGATACACTGTGCTCGTTCGCTAAGGTCCGAGGTCCTCTGGTACTCCGCGAAAGTGAGCCTCATCCTCCGCGGACGGCGTTCCGCGGGGGCCTCCTCGGCCGCGAGGCCCTCGCGAGTCGGCTCGGCCTCGTCCGCCGCGTCTGGGGCGTCGATGCCGAGGTCGATGTTCTCATGCTCCACGCGCTTGAGGCTGTTCATCTGGAGGTCGAACGCCTCCTTCAGAGGAACAGAACTGGCATAAGCATCCACTTTCGGAGGCCCGCACGAACCTCTTGGATCGGCGCCAGATCCCCTCCCAGGCGCGCGGAGCGCGCCAGGGGCGGCGTGGGACGCACGGCCAGGCGGGCCCACCGCCGATCCAGAGAAATTCGCGCTGGGCCCCGAACGCAATTTTTTCTGCCCTCCGATCCTTGGCGTGCTCCGCGGTGACCTGGTCCGACAAGTTCACCCTCGCGATCGCCTCCGAGAGTCGGATGAGGCTCTCGAGCTGCCGCACCGTCACGCCCGCGCCCCCGCGCATGTAGGAGTGGCGGTCCTTCCGGAGGGCCTTGTAGGAGCGGACCAGTAGCTTCTTCGCCTCCTGCGAGATCTTCGGCTTGTGCGCCCGAGCGTAGCGGATGTAGCGCATCAGTTCCGTGGGGGTGAGCTGGGAGCTCGTGTCCTCCGCGGTCTGCCTGTGGAGCGCCAGGATATGCTTTGCGACGCGGTGGTCGTTGGTCTCGTCATGGATGTCCTGCATCACGAACATGAGGTCGAAGCGCGACATGATGGGCGCAGACAGGTCGCAATTTTTGTGCAGCGGCTGGGTGGGCTGGTAATACACGGCCTTGGGCAAGCACGAGGCAAGGATGGACGTGCGGGCGTTGAGCGTGGCCTGGATGCCGGCCTTCGAGAGCGTGATCGTCTGCTGCTCCATGGCTTCGTGGATAGCAGACTGGTCCTTGGCGTCCATCCGTTCGAACTCGTCGATGCAACAGACGCCGTTGTCGGCGAGCATAAGAGCGCCAGGCTGGATGACCTTCTCCTGGTCCAAGTCCGCCTCCTTCACCACGGACGCGGTGAGGCCTGCCGCTGTGGAGGACTTGCCCGACGCGAAGACGGCTTTGGGCAGGAACGTGGACACCCACTTCAGGATTGCGCTCTTCGCGGTGGCAGGGTCCCCGAGGAGACAGATGTTGATGTCTCCGCGGAGCTTGATGCCCTCGTCCGTTTTCTTGACGAGACCTCCCACAAGCAGCAGGAGGATGCCCTTCTTCACCTCCAGGTGTCCCTCGATGCCTGGGGCGATCATGCTGGCGAGCTTGTCGAAGCAGTCACCCCTATTGCGGAGGGCCATAAAGCGGTCCCTCTCGTTCTGCGTGAGGAACAGGCCTGCGTCTGTCCGTGCGTCCTCCTCCTCGGCCTCCTGTCCGAACTCGGAATCCATCTCGATGTAACCGCCGAAGAACGACAACTTGTACGTCAGGTCGCGGTTGCCCATGCCACTGAGGCCCTTCACGCCGTCGGAGAAGGACGAGTCTGACCGAGTGTTCAGCGAGCGCCGCGTCTGCTGCGTGAGCTCCGACGGGTTCATCATGGAGGGCACGTCCGGCACCACGATCAGGCTGCCGGTGATGTGCACCTTATCGCCGGGCTTGCAACGGTCGCAACACTCGTCCCGAACGATCACGTCCATCGACCGGGGCATGGAGCCGGCTGGTACCTCCTTCTCGCTCTCCTCAGAGGAAGAAGAACGGCGTAATCATTGACTTTCGACGGTCCGGGCTCCAAGAATCCGCGCGGACCGTCGACCATCTACGTTTACGCACTTCGTTTCTTCTTCGGCTCTTGCAGGCGGATGCGCTGCCAGTCGCCCCACCGCGTGGTGCGGCTCTCGGCCAGCAACGTCCAGCTGGTCCGGTTGCCGCAATTGCGCCCGGGGCAAGCCACCGGCATGGTGCACTTGAACTGCTGGACCACGCCGCTCACCTTTGTGAGGCTTCGGGCTGCGCCACGGACAGCCCCCAATCCAGGTAGTCCCGGCTGGCCTCGACAATCCCCCGATCAGTCTGGAAGAGGACTCAACACCTCCACCCTGGGGCGCGGAGCGCCGCCCGAAGGGCGCCGCCTGGGCTTTGAGACCGCCCAGACTACTACTCGGGGGGGGGGGGGGGCGTTGGTGCCAGCCGGGGCTGCCCCGGCAGGGCTGCCTGTGCGCCGCCCGAGGCCGTGCCCGGCGCACCTCGCGGGAGCAGACGTTGCACTGGTAGGTCCCCACGAGCAGCTCCGGCTTCATCTCGGTGGTCCTCTGGGGGGACCAAATAGCTACCGGCACCGGTACTCGAGGACCTCTCCCGGGGTGCCCTCTGACCAGGATTTCGGGGCGAATCCAGCGGTGGCGACGAGAGCCTCCCCGGAGGCTCAAAAAGGGGAAACCGAGGGAAAGGAAGCGGCATTTCCTCCTCGGATCCTCGTGACCGTGCCGCACACCGTCACGAGCTTGCCCAGCTGGTCGGTGCGCAGGTCCCGGATGCCGCTGTGGGTGCCCATGTTCCAGAAGGCGGCCACGAACTTGGTCTCGTCCTATGGCGCCGCCCACAGGGGGGTGGCGCGAGCGGGGTGGGCTTCCAGGAGGGCGGCGGGGCCTCTCAGAACCCCCGACCTGCTGCCAAGCAGCCTCCCTAGAAACCTTTGGGGCCCTCTACGGAGGCCTCTGCCTTCGGAGAAGACCCTCCGCCTTCTCTCCATGCCGCCCACCGCGCGCCCCCGCACCCCGTGGGCGCTGCCGAGTCCTTCTCGCGCGCCTGCTTCACCAGCCTCTGGAGCTCCGGGTCCTCCAGCTTCCCCAGCAGCTCGGGCACGGCGGCGTTGAGGGCGTCGCGCGCCATCATGTACTTCGACTCGATCACGTGCTGGAGGTCCGTCGGGTCGAAGGTCACCAGCTCAGGGCGGACCTCCGCCAGGTGGGAGACGTTGACGTACAGGGTGTTCTTCTTCTCGCGGACCATCAGCTTTGCCTGCTCCACATAATACTTCTCGCCCTTCCGGAGGCCACGGTCGTCGGCGCTCAGCTCGAAGTGCTCCAGGAACTCGAGGAAATAGCGCTGGACGCTCGTGATCAGCTGCGACTTGAGGACTGGGTCCATGGCTCTAGGACGGCTGCCACCACAGCGCGAACAATGGCGGCCAGGCTGTTCGAGCAAGCGCCCTTCGAACCTTGAGCCAGACTGGCTACGTACGGAAAGGTCGAAAAGGAGGACCAGGCTGGACCTGGACTCGTGAGATCCGAAGCCGTGCATGGCACTGACACTGAAGGCCATCGCAGTGCCTTGTTGGGGTGGTGGTGGAGGCAGAAGCAAGCCCCCCCAGAGTGGCAACACACCGTGAGCACAACCTCTTCCGGAGGTCCGCGCGCATTTTCTTGGTTCCGTGACGAACACCCTCTTCTAACGCGTGGAGCGCGCCATGGGGGCGGCGGCGGGGCGCGACCCAATCTGCGCGGAGCTCCGAGCGCCTATTCGGCGGCGAGCTCGTGGGGCAAGCGAGAGAGGAGGGGGGCCTTCCCAGAAGGCTCGGAAGGCCCCTGGCCTTCCCAAACATTTTTGTAGGCCCTGTCCGAGGACGCAGGCAGCTTCTCAGAAGGCCGGAGGGCCTCTGAGAGGCCCCGCCGCCTTCTGAGAAGTGCTGCCCCCTCCTCCTCCCTCCTCCCTCCTCCCTCCTCCCTCCTCCCTCCTCCCTCCTCCTCCTCCTCCTCCTCCTCCTCCTCCTCCTCCTCCTCCTCTTCTTCCCCCTCCTCTTCCCCTCCTCCTCCTCCTCCTCCTCCTCCTCCTCCGCCTCCTCCTCACCCTCCTCCTCCTCCTCCTCCTCCTCCTCCTCCTCCTCCCCCTCCCACCCCTAGGCGCGCCGTCGACATATGTTTCTGTACTCTTGCTGTTCGTCGAGCTCCGCAGGTTGTCCCGCACGGGCGCACTTGGCGAAGGTAATCGCACTGCGACGCCGAGAAAGTCGGATCCGGAGGCGCACCCCTGTCGGCAACAATCCTGCCAGCCCTGCGGGGGGAAGCCGCTGGACCGGCCGGGACCCTGCGAAGGAAACACCACGGCCCAGCACGAGGCACACCGATCAGCTTAAGGCAACCAAGCCGAGCGATCAAAACACGGCGATGTATTTTTTATCGGTGTCGGGTTGACGTTGCGTCCCTGTCGGGGCTATCTTGAGCCAAACTGACCAATGACGATGCGCATGCAACAGGGTTTTGAGGCATTGCCCCAACGCGTGTGCAAGATGTCAGAATGGAACAATACATGAGAAAGATAATGGAAGCCACATCCTACGTGGTCTGTAGGACTTGGCGGTCTGTAGTGCCTCCGAGGCTCTCAAGACGTCGGTCCCCAGGGGCCTCTGGGGCCGTCTGGGGCCCTCAGGAGGCGCTCGCGACCCAGCCGTCCCACTGGGCCCGAAATCAAGGCGGATACGCTTTCTAAGTATATAGGCACTCACTGTATCAGTACATCTTTTTCTTGCACATCGAGAGAACACATACTTGGAGTAAGAAGGACGGGGACCCCGGAAAAACAACCCCCCCCCCCCACCCAACGAATTTGGCCCACCCCGGGCCTCTCGGGTAACCCTCCAGACGGCCTGGGAGAAATCACAAGAGCCCGACGACGGCCTTAGAGGGCTCCAGGCATTCTGGCGCGCCCCCGAAACGACCCCAGAAAGCCCCAAGACCGTCCACGACGATCCCAAAGAAGCCGTCATACTCCCAAAGATCGCTCCAAAACGTCCCAAGAGGCCTCCGAGAGCACTCCCAAGAAGGCCCCAAGAGGCAAACATCATTGATTTTCGGATGATTTTTGGTTCATTTGGGGGTTCTCCTCTTTTCGGCTTCCCGACGCTTCAAGACGGCGGTCTTCTGGGCGTCCGAAGCCGCCTGGGAGGCTCGAAAATCGCCCCACAACCATCCGAAAGGGCTTCCAGGCAGTCCAAGAGAGCCAAAAGACGGCACAACAGGGTTCGAAGATGGTCTCAGAGAGCCCCATGACGGCCCAAGATAGCCCCAAGACGCTCTCCGAAGCATTCCAAATCGTGACCCGGTCGTTCAGGGAGATCGCGGTTGGAGGCAGGGTGGCCTGGGGACGCCCCCAAATGCCCCCAGAAAACGCCCAGGAGGCTTCCAGAAGGCCTTAAGAAAGGCTGCAGAAACTTCCGTGAGTCTCCAAGGAGGAGCCTTCGCAAAGAGAGCTGAGCAGGATGGGGAGAATACGCAGGGTAGGGCGAGAATGAGGAACAAAAATAATGGAGGAAGGAAAACACATTACATTGTTATAACGACGATACCGGAAGAGGCAACACGGAGTTTTCGCTAAATTTTCGGTTTGACCTTCCTGCCATTCCGCCTGCATACCAAACTTCAAGAACCAAGGTGCATTGCGCGAAGCGCCAATGCAGTCTTGCATCTACACTTATAGACACACACATATATATATATATATATATATCTATGCATGCATATATACATATAGAGTTCTACATGCTTGCACATGCATCCTACGCACATGTATCAACATTGGTATATGCATACATGTATGTATACATACGTGTGTGTGTGTGCGTGTGTGTGTGTGTGTGTTTATGTGGGCGTGCACGTGCACAGAACCAAGATTGCTCTCAGTGCTTCTCACCTGCACTCTTGAGCAACACGGGTGCCGGGTTCTCGCTCGGTGGCCGCCCGTGGGTGCTCCGTGCGTTGGCTGGGCGTGCTGGCTTCTCGCCCGCTAGCGGCCCGTGGACTCCCGAGGTCATAGTGTCTCCACCGCGTGGGCGACGCAAGGAAAACAGGCCCCAGTTGCGCGGAGATTGGCGCGTCAGTTTCCCGCCGAAGGCCGCGCGTGAGCGCCCTCTTCTCCACGCGGGCCGCCAGCGTGCCTTCTTGCGTAAGACTCGACCCTTTTCGTAACTCATGTGGGCCACAACTGCCTCGAGCCTTCCCCAAGACTGGCTCGTCATCTGGAGTATTTGTTGTTGGTCCCAGGGCACCCAGTAGCCAAACAACTCCCGACGCGGATGGGTCAAGGCAACCGCCGCAACACGCTTCCTTGAAGGGTGGACGGTCCCCAGGAGGCTGGGCATTCTACGGGCAACCACCTCTGTGGGCAAGGCCTGCAGCGAGCGTCGGAATGCCCTTGCAGGAGGAGGGAGGGGGGGTGTTGTTCAGTGCTTCCTGAGGTTACGTAGGAGGAGGAGGAGGAGGAGGAGGAGGAGGAGGAGAAGGAGGAGGAGGAGGAGGAGGAGAAGGAGGAGGAGAAGGAGGAGGAGGAGCAGGAGGAAGAGGAGGAGGAGCAGGAGGAGGAGGAGAAGAGGAGGAGGAGGAGGAGGAGAAGGAATAGGAGGAGCAGGAGGAAGAGGAGGAGGAGGAGGAGGAGAAAGAGAAGGAGGAGCAGGAGGAGGAGGACGAGGAGGACGAGGAGGAGGGAGAGGGGCGGTGGAAGGGGGAGGAGGAGGAAGAGGAGGAGGAAGAGGAGGAGGAAGAGGAGAAGAAAGAAGAGAGGAGGAGGAAGACCAAGACGACGACGAAGCCCGCGGGGTGCACTGGCTGGGCCGCTCCTCCACGGCGTGGTAGGCCAGGGCCGACCAGAGCGCCAGGAGTCCTCCGGTCGCGGCGGCCCTCGTGGACGCTCGGTGAGGCGGTGGGCAAACGCATGGCGGCGGCTCGTATGCCTAGGTCTCCGACGACACGATTTCTTGAATACCAGGCCCCAAAGCCCTTATCGGGCCCCTGGGCTTTCAAGAACGGACCTGGGACGGAACGCCACCTTTGGGCGGGTGGGTCGGGAGCTCAGGGGCCGCGGACTGACGAAGGTCACCTCGTCGGGCGTCTGGGTGCCTGAGCGGTACCGCGGCGCTCCTCTCCGAGGGCCAGGGCGGGCGCACCCCCCCCCCGGCCCTCCCATGTGGAGGCCTCCTAGATGAGGGCCGAGTTTATGGGGTCGAAGAATCGCGCCGCATCGCCGATGCATTGCCGATGCATCGGCGACGTCAACGTGAAGGAAATTTGACTCCACATCGATGACGATGGCGATGGCGATGACGTCATCGTCATCGTCATCATCGGACGCACGTTTATCCACTGAAGGCAGACTTATCTCCATGTCCTCGTTATCTCCGCGCGGGTCCCCCTCCCCGGCGCACTGCCGGGGAGGGGGGACCCGCGCCGCCTCCCTATGGGCCGCTGCTCTGCTGCTCTGCTGCTCTGCGAAAAAAACATTCAATCAAACATTGCTGCCTTTCGAGTGATTGTTGCCTGCAGTGAGTCGGAGTAAGTGGCACGGGAGCTGGAGTCGAAGAGATGTTCAGAGAAACTTGAGTCGAAGAGCTGGGAGTTGGACAGAGGCGGAGACAAATGGGAATCGGAGTCGGAGATATGGGAGCCGGAACCAGAAACATGGGAGCCGTAAAGGCCCTGGAGAGACGGCAATAGACGCTGGAGTCGAAGAGGCGGGGGTTGGAGTCGTAGAGGCGGCAACTGGTGTCGGAGACATGACTCGATGACATAGGAACTGGAGTCGGACGCACAAGATCTGGGGTCGGAGGGGTGGAAGCCAGAACCGGAGAGGCGACAATGGACGGCGGAGTCGGAGAGCGAGGAGTCGCAGTTGGAGAAGAAGCCAGGCTCGGAGGCGCAGCAGGAGTCGGAGAGACACGTGCAGCAGGAGTCGGAGAGGCACGTGGTGCTGGACAGCATCGCAGGCCAACGCACTGCATGCAGTGAGTGGCCATGGCTCGGCATACCCTTCGGGTGTTGCCAGGAGTGCCCCCGGCCCAGGGTGCCCCCCGGATGTCCGGGCAGGCCCCCACGGCCTCCAGGGCACCCCTCGCGAGGCCCAGAGGGCCCCGTGGGCTCCGAAGTGGAGCGGGAAGCGGGGGGCCCCTTGGGCCACGGGGCACGTCTAGCCACGCCCGAGGCCCCGGCTTCGATCTGCCCCACGCGCCCGTCTTCGCAAGTGGCAGCAGGCCTGCGGCGCCCGTGGGTGCGTCCGGGGCGTGTTGCCGCTTCGCTGATAGATGCGGGGTTCAACGTTGTCCTCCTCCTCCTCGTCCTCCTCCTCCTCCTCCCCCTCCTCCTTCTCGTCCTCCTTCTCGTCCCCCTCCTCCTTCTCGTCCTCCTCCTCCTCCTCCTCATCCTTCCCCATTCGTCAAAGCTGAGCGAGCCGAGGCAATCTGAGCTCGGAGTCGATCCTTGGAGCCCTCCTGGGGTCCAAGCGCACCACTTTTCCGAACTGTCCCCTGAATTCTTCGGCTTCTCCTCCTCGGCCATCTCCCTCCCTCCTCCTCCTCCTCCTCCCTCCTCCTCCTCCCTCCTTCTCCCCCCCACCCGAAGCCCTCGCTCCCGGGAGTGTATTGCAGCACCGTTGGGAAATCCGAGGTTCAACATGATCCTTCTTCTCGTGCTCCTCCTCCTCCTCCTCCTCCTCCTCCTCCTCCTCCGCCTCCTCCTCCTGTTGCTGTTGCTGATGGCCTGAGGGTTCGTCGACCGCGGCCTCCCTCCTTCTCCTCCTCCTCATCCTCCTCCTTAACCATTCTTTCACTTCCCTCATACTCCTCCTCCTCTTCTTTTCCCATCCCGTTTCCTTATAATAATTCTCCCTGTCGCACCGCGTGACGTGTCGGTAGGGCGGGCCAGGCGTTTCGCGTGAGACTGCCTCACCATTTTTCATCCTGACGCTCAGGCTGTGCAAACAGTCTCACGGATGGAGGGCGGGCCGTTTTCAAAACGTGTCTTTCGCCTCAGCGCCACGCAATCTCATCTTCAACGTTTGCAGGTGTTTCACGGATGGAGGGCAGGCCGTTTTCAAACTATGGCTCTCGCCTTAGCGCCGCTCTCAAGCGTTTGCAAGAGTTTCGCGGAAGGATGGCAATACCTTTTCAACATGTTGCTCTCGCCGAAACCCCACTCGAGTTCGTCGCAAGAGCTTTAAACCGGTTGAGGGGATCCTATTGATTACGTTCCAGAATGTTGTTTTGGCACGATGTAGAAGTGTCAGGGCGCAGCAATCACGTCTATTCGCGGTGCAGTCCCAGGAACTGTTCCCTAGCGCGTTTCGGGATCGCCAGGACGCAACGGTAACGTTGATTCGAGGCGTTGGTCCCAGGAATGGTGTTCTGGCACGGTTCAGGATTTCCAATCAGTTGTCCTCTAACGGGACCCCTCCCTGCGTGAGAATAAATCCTTGTAGGGACCTACGAGGAGGGAATTCGGAGGGAGGATGTATTGCAACATCGTTGATGCGACTTGGGTTTGCACTGGTCCTCCTCCTCCTCCTCCTCCTCCTCCTCCTCCTCCTCCTCCTCCTCCTCCTCCATCTCCTCCCGCGCCCTCGCTCCCAGCTCCTTCGCCCTGCTTCGCGCGGCCCCTCGCCCCTCGGACACGCGCGCTCGCGGCGGCGCCCCGACCCCCCCCCTGGGCGAAGAGGGCGATGGGGGCATGCCCCTCCGTCGTGTTGACTTTGTGATCCTCCTCCTCCTCCCTCCTCCTCCCTCCTCCCCCCTCCTCCTCCCTCGTCGTCCTTCCTCCTCCTCCTCCGAAGCCCTCGCTCCCAACAGCTGCCAGATCCTCGGCTGCTCCAGGCGGCCCGCCTCCCTGCTGCCGCGGACACGCGCCCGCGGCCCCCCTCCCCTCCCCCCCCCCCGCTGGGGCTCCCCCGAAGATGGCGATGGGGGCGTATCCCTCCATCGCGTTGACCTTGTGATCGATGAGTGCCTCCGGCGGGAGGCGGTGGAGGGGGGGGGGGCGAGGGGGAGCGCGGGGCGACGCGACGGGGGCGCAGAGCACGCCCAGGGAGAGGGTGAGGGATGGAGCGAGGGAGGGGGGGGGGGCGCGGCACGACGAGGGGAGTGTGTTCAGCGCAGGCCCAGGGAGAGGGGTAGGGAGGGAGGCAGGACTGGGCGGCAGAGGGGGGGCGGCACGACGAGAGGGGGGTGCCGTGCGCAGCGCACGTCCAGGGAGAAGGGGGATGGAGAGGGGGAGGGAAAGAGGGGATGGGGAAATGTCGTGCGGGGGTGGATGTCGGGGCGGACAGAGGAGAGGAGGGAAAGGGGATGTCCTCCCCCCTCCTCCTCCTCCTCCTCCTCCTCCTCCTCCTCCTCCTCCTCCTCCTCCTCCTCCTCCTCCTCCGCCTCCTCCCTCTCCTCCTGCAAGGGAGAGGGCGCGTGGGATGCCGCCTGTAGCAATATCCAGTGGCCCATGTAGGCGGAGAAAGCGTACTTGCCCAACGGCGCCATCCAGCGGAGCCCCTGGGATATCCAGGACGACTCTCGGGCAAAGCAGGCGATGACGAGAACCTCTCGGGCGAGGCGCTGGGGCCGCTGGAGGAGACGAGGCAAAGCGAGAAACAACGCCAATGAGAGAGAGAGAGAGAGAGAGATATGCTTGCAAGCGCAACGCTATGCCTGCGAACACCATAAACGCCTGAGAGCACCGCGAAGCGCCTGTGAGCGTCCATGTGCTAGTTTGGGCCACGTGCCACCCGCCATTGTCTACACCAGCCTGATTTAAAGTCCCTTTCCCCCATAATGCGGATTCGACGGTGTGATCACACCAACTGTATGCGAGCAACGCAGCATGCCTGTGAGCACTGTTGTGTGCATGCGACCACCAGGCGACGACCCTGCCAGTGCCAAACTAGGCTGCGAGCGCCATCTGCAAGCACGGCAATATGCAAGACCCTGCCAATGCCACAACATGTTGCGAACGTCGCAACATGTCTGCGAGCAGCGGCAGTGAGCCTGCGAGCTCCACAACAGCCTGCGAGCGATGGCCTGATGCGATGTGATCCTCTGAATGGTGCTTCGAACGCCGTGCCTCCATTGCGCGCCGTGCTGTGACAATGCCGAAAATGGGAGGTGCCAGGGGACGCCCCACCGAACTCGCAAGGGGACGCGCCGCAGGACGCGCCAGGGGGCGCGCCAGGGGACGTGCCAGGGGATCTGCCACCGGACGCTCCATGCGACGTGCTAGGGGCACGTGCTCAAGAAACTGCCATGGACGTGCCCAGGGACGCGCTATGGAACGAGCCAGGGGACCCGCCAAGGAACGTACCAAGGGACGCGCCAGGGCACGTGTTAGGGGACGCGCCAAAGGACGCGCCAGGGCACGTAACACGGGACGCGCCCAGGGACGCGCCAGGGGACGTGCCATGGGAAGCGCCAGGGCACGCACTGGGGGACGCGCCACGGGACGCCCTAATTAGGGGAAGTGCCAGGGGGCGCGCCACGGGACGTGCCAGGGGACGCGCCAGGGGTTCGTACCAAGGCAAACCTTGGAACAAGGTGACGCGCCAAGGGATTAGACAGGGGGCGCGCTAGCGGACGTGGCAGAGATCTTGCCAGGGGACGTCGTGAGGCCTCCTGGGCCTCCTGGGGACTTATGGGGCCTTCTGGCGACCACTGCAGCTGGCTGATCCCCTTTATATGTATAGGAGATTTTTACGGGGGCCGCCAGATGTCTCCAGACCCCGTGATGCATTGAGGATGCGCAATGGGAGGCTGCACTTTCATCGAGCACGCACGCACGGGGTGCACTTTCTCAGCCAAGCATGAGCCCGCACCCTGGTCTCTCGTCGAGGAGAAGACTTCGCTGGCCTACCTCGAACATGGCATCGGGGACAAACTAACCAATTTAAAGAAAACCCAAGGCCCACGTCGTTTCCGGGGAAAAGCGAAATGTCGAAGGGGTGGTTTGGGAAAGGGGAGAGGAGGAATGAAACAGAGAGGGGTACAGTGCGGACGCGGCTGCACGAAGCCCTCTTCATAATACCAAGCCTGAAATTCCCCGCGCAAGATGAAAAGTTTGGGGGTCAGCCAAAGAACCCTGAACGCAGCAGCTTCTTTGACGGTCGCGGGAGGTCACCGCGCAACGCGCGCACAACGAAACACCCAAAAGACCGCTTTCTTAATGCGCGTCCCCACTGTAGGGAATGCAAGAACGCTGGCGAGGGGGTTCCAAGAGGGCCGGGAATGTCGAGTGGACGCAATGAACACCAGCCCGGCCAAGGGCACTCGAAGGTCCGACAAGCGATGACGGTAGAGCGTGGGAGGGGACGACGAACGCCGCAAGCCAGAGGTTCCGAAATCGGGTTAGACCTGGCCAGCATGGTGACTCTAGGATCTCTCGTATTGTAGCGCTCTGGGGCTCGAGGTTGGCAGGACGCTGTTGTGATTTTCAGGCTCGTATGGGGTCGTTTGTTGGTGTACTGAGCCCATTTGAAACAACTTTGGGCCAACTTTGGGGTCTCAATGGACTCGTGGAGGGATCGGAGGGCCGTGTGAGCCGACCTTGTAGTAATGTGGGGGCATGTTGGGGTCGAGCGGGGCCTCGGAGGGCCTGTGGAGAGAGGGGGAAGTGGCAGAAGGAAAAGTGCACGCGAGAAGCAACGCCAAATGTTCATGAGAAGGGCTTGCCCGAATGCCAAGGAAGGCAGTTCTAGCATAACCATGATCCCGAAACGAATGGACTGCGCGTGAAGGTATCATGCGTACTTGGTGACTGAAGCCATGCCTCCCTGATCAAGCTGGACCCTCCATACTACTCCTTGTCCTCCCCTCCGCACCTTCCCTGCCTCCCTGCCCTCCTCCTCCTCCTCCTCCTCTTCCTCCTCCTCCTCTTCCTCCTCCTCCTCTTCCTCCTCCTCCTCTTCCTCCTCCTTCTCCTCGCCCTCGTCTCACTCTTCGCCCTCGATCTCCTCCTCCCCATCCTCCTCCTTGAAGGATAACACTAAGAAACACCCATTGGCTACGAAGGCCGGCGCGGACTCCGTGGATCGGCGCCAGCCCCCCCTCCGCGGCGCGTGGAGCGCGCCAGGGGAAGATCCTGGCGCATATCCGAGGAGTCCGCGCGGACCATCGGGCCACAATGCCCATGCGATGTCTGCCGCTTCGACGCCACCTTCCTCCTCCTCGTCCTCGTCGCCTTCCCCCTGCTCGTCCTCGCCCTTGCCCTCCCCCTCCGTCCCCCGGCCTCTCCCCCGAACCCCGACGTCGTGCTCCTGCTCTCGCAGCGTGGGCCCCCGTGGGAGGCCCGAGCCGCTGCGCCTCTGGGCCCGCCTTCCGCCCCGCGCGTCTTGTCGGACGGGTCCCGGGGCCCGACGGGGGCCCCCAAAGGGCCCCCGCGAAGACAGCGACGGATCCTCGCGCCTTGCCTTGCTTTTCCCACGGCGCGACAGGGTCCGCCCCCCCCCGCCCCCGTCGGCAGAGAGGCCTCCCCCTCCTTGAGCAAAGCACCATGATGCGCGCTTGCTGCGCGTGTCGTGGCTGCTGCAAGAAGGGAGGGTGCCTCCTTCTGGCTTCGAAGCCCTGTCCCATTGCTCCTCTTGCAGACGAAGACCACATCACCGTGACGACAGTGTCTTTCAATCTGCCTTCGCCAATGGAGCATCATCGCGGAACAGTTCGGAGCAGAACTGCTCCAACTACTCCGCGCGTGGGCGCATCCCGCTCGATAAGTCATATTTTTTTTGGAGCGGAGCGGTCTGCAATCGGGTTTTGGGGCAACCACGTCATAAACATTAAGCGGACGGGAAACGACTCCGTCATTGACACAGTCTTATCATGACTGTGTCAATGCTTAAAGCATTGACACAATCATCATGCCATGCCAGGATTCTTTCGAGGGGTAAGAGATATCATCATCATGGCAAATTGAAAGAACTTTCCCGGTTGGGGACCCTGGCATCGAGTGACGGCTTCCGGACGCGCAGGTGGCCAGCGCAAGAGGTGGCGCGCTGCATGGTGCACTGAACTTTCCGCGGCCTGGCGTCGCGCTGAAGCGGGCTGTCCCGCTCCAGGGGCCCCTTCGGGGGAAACCAAAAGGTACCGATACCGCTACTCCCTGGAACTCTCCTCCTGTGCGTCCTGACCAGAATTTCGAGGCGAATCCAGTAGTGGCGACGAGGGCATCCCAGGAAGTCCCAAATGGGGAAACCGATGCAAGGGTACTGGTATCTTGGCGGCGAGCCCAGGAGGGAAATGAGAAGGGGCGGGCCTTCTCAGAAAGCTCTGGAGTCCCCCGGCCTTCTGAGAAGTTTCCTGAGTCCCCTCGAAAACACCGAAACTTCTCGGAAGGCCCGAGGGCTTCGGAGAAGCCCAGCCGCTTTCTGAGAAGGCCTCCTCTTTCTCATTTCCCCCCGGGCGCGCAACCGAACTTGTTTGACTAATGATACCGCGGGTATCCAGCGGCCGTTCGAGTCGATCCAGGGAACCCCAGAACGCCCTCGGCGAGGCGCAGCTGCTGGCAAGCATCCCGAGGCCAGAAAACCGCCGAGAACCGACGAAAGCGCCCAAAAACCTCGAACCTCGAGCCTTGTCCTCCTCTGACCTCCACCTTCCGCCCTCCCGCCCCTTCGGATGGGGGGGAGGGCGCCCACAGCCACGGCGCAGCGAAGTCCGCCCGCCCCGAGGAGCGCAAGAAAAGCATGGCCATCGAGGCGGCGATGAGCACGGCCTGGCGCGCCGCGTGGGCCGCCAGCCGACGACGACGACGACGACGACGACGACGACGACGACGACGACGACGACGACGACGACGACGACGGCGGCGACGACGACGACGACGACGACGACGACGACGACGGACGACGGACGACGGACGACGACGACGACGACGACGACGACGATGGACGACGATGGACGACGACGATGACGATGGACGACGATGGACGACGACGACGACGACGGACGACGACGGACGACGACGGACGACGGACGACGACGGCGAGGGCAATTGCGCCGAGCGGCGGCCTGGTGGAGGCCGCCGAGAGCCTCCGTGGACCTCTGGTGGCCCCCAGAGCTTCCACACAAGCAGACGCCCAATCCATTTTTTCGCCTGCCCCGAGCGATTCCCGCCCGAGAACGCGAGGCGGGATCGCCAAGAACCGCTGGCACCCCTGGGGGCTTGGCGGCCGCGGCATGCCGGCACTCGTCGTGGGCGCGAGGCGGGGTCCCCAGGGCGCGCCGGCACGCGCTGGGCCTGGAAGGGGCGCGGTGCGCTGGGTGCGCGAGGCGCGTGCGGGGCGGGTCGGGAGATCAGAAGGAGGAAGACGAGGAGGAGGAGGAGGAGGAGGAGGAGGAGGAGGAGGAGGAGGAGGAGGAGGAGGAGGAGGAGGAGGAGGAGGAGGAGGAGGAGGAGGAGGAGGAGGAGGAGGAGGAGTCGAGCGTACGCAGAGGTCTTCGTCCCACCTAGGCCCGCCCTCCAGCCCCCTCGGGCGGCGGGGCGGGCGGGGCGTGCGTTCCTGGCCTGAGCTGCAGGCCAGCGGGGAGACGGCGTCGCCAGCGTCGCGGCCAGAGGGCCGAGGACGCAGCAGCGCATCACTTGCGTCCGTGGGGGAGGAAGGAGGTGACGAGCAGGCGCTAAGAAAGGGGAGAGACGCAGACGCGCTGGTGGCAGAGAAAAAGGCAGGAGCACTGCTTTTCACCGCAGGGCTCGCACTGCCTCCGACCCCTGTTACGGGTATTAGGTAAATCCCCGATTGTGGGGAGGGCGTGAACAGATACTCCCTCGCTCCGAGGGCCTCAAGCGGGGCAGAGGGCCACCGATCAGGAGCCGCAGAGGACAGGGCGACAGGAGCATCCAAGAGAGTGGAGGCCTCAGGAGTGCCTCCAGCGGGAGAGCCACGCGCACCGCCACCTACAGAAGGCCTCAGGGGCTCAGGAGCGGAAGCCTCAGGATTGCCGCCAGGGTTCAAGAGGACCTCGGAAGGGCCCATCGAAGACAAGGGCCTCAGACACTGCTCAGAATGGGGCATCCGAGGCGGAACCTGGGGAAGGGCCCCCTCGCCCGGTCGCGCTGACATCTTTGGTGTCGTCGACAATATCCTGTGCGAAGAAAAGAGGCGCATGGCAGCAGAAGAGATGGCCGTCAAGCTCGATGTACTGGTCATCGGTGGTGCAGCAGAGGTCCTCAATGGCGCAGCAGACTGCGGCAGCAGTGTCGCCGAGGCAATCCTCGTCCGCGCGGCGATCCTCGGTCTCGTGTCGCCATCAGCAGGAGCGAGACTCGGCTCACAATTTATTCGTGTGAAGGACGGGCTCGAGGAGCACCTGCCTTCGCGTTCTGACAATCCATCGCGCGGTGTGACGCAGTCCTCGCTCCGACCGGTCTCGCAACTTACTCCTGAAAAGGACGGGCTCGAGGAGCGCCCGCCTTCGCGTTCTGACGGTCCACCCGCGGCAGCCGCGTGAAATTTGCACTGGTGATGCTCGCAATCTACTCGAGAGAAGGACGGGCTCGAGGAGCACCCACCTTCGCGTTCGGACCCATCGCGCGCAGCAGAGGGCAAGACTTCGCTCGGACGAGGCTCGCAATCTACTCTCGAGAAGGACAGGCTCGAGGAGCGCCTGCCTTCGCGTTCTGACATTATCGTCAATGGGGAACTGGTGTAGGTCCAGAGGAAGGCGAACCTGTGCGACGGCAGCGCAAGAGCATCACCACCATCAGCGCGAGGGAAAGGAATCGGTGCAGGAGAGGGCCCATGTGCGAGCAGTCCAGAACAACGGCGCCGCGAGCGCACAACATCACTGCTAGCTGAGGCATGCCTGGCTGCATCGTTCGGCACCTCTGGCGCGGGATCGGAACGTGGGGCGCGGTAGTGGATAGTGCCGTCAGCGTGGGCCGATGGGGGCACCTCGCCATCGCAGTCTTCGTCGCGCCCACTGATGGCGAACGGGGCCGTGGAGCCATCAACCCTGAGCAGGTAAGACCTCATCTCAGGCCTAAGCAGACGAAGGGTAGACCAGTGCCAGGCGACGGCGCGCTCCCAAACTTCGTGCGACTCGTGCGACTTCACCCGCCCCAAGTACTGGGCGATGCTGCGTCGGCGCGCGGTCGAGCGACGCCATGCTGCAGCGCAAATGTCGGTGGCCATCTCGGCAAACGTCCGACCAGCTCGGAGCCTCTCGGCCTCCGCCCATTCACGAGAGCGGAGCTTGGCTTCAACGAGCGGCTCGCGCCAGAGTCTCCAGTCGCTAAGGCCACAATCAGGCATATCCAGCCTCAGTATCCACCGAGAGGCCTTCGACACCGTGGACAGGAAGAAGACAACTTGAGGGCTGTTGGGGTCGACCTCATCAGGGGGCATGTGCATGCCATGGGGGCCATCATCGCCGCCAGCGTGGATCTTCCGAACAGCACGAGGCAACATCGGAGTCGTGGAAAGAATACGGCCAATTTGGGAACGATAGACGGGTACCGAAATCTGCAGGGCCCCAACACCAGTTGATACTGCCATCAAGGTGCAAGTCGCCCGAAGGGCCTGCAGTGGCATCGCAACCAGCGGTGCAGCGTCGTCCTCAGATGCTGCAGAAGCAATAGGCCTGGAAGGCGTCGGCGGGGTCGACGTCGGCGAGACAGCCGGTGTCAACCGAGGCGATGAGGCCGCGGCCTGCAGACCAGCAAGCGGCCTCTAAGCCAAAGCGGCGACCAACGGGTCACTGGATGGGGCAGGGCGACCCATGCCAGGGGGCGAATAGCTGATCCAGTCGTCGGTGGCCGAGGGCGTCGGAGGGGACAGGCCAGGTCGTGGGGCGTCAGGGGAGGGGCCGCAACTGGAGCTCGGCTCGGAGGCGGACGCAAAGGGGATCACATCAGCAGGATGCTGAACCCGTCGCTGCACTGGGATAGGTGATGGTGGTGCCCATCGTCGCAATCGATCGCTCGGCCTAGACAGGCGAGGAGAGCAGCCCCGACGTAGCCGCGAAGCTGTGATGGTGTCACGATGGCCGAGCCGAGACGTGCTAGGTTGTCAGTCTGGTACATAGCACAGAGGAATTCCAGATGATGAGCGTGCGGTTGAGTCAGGCCCCAACGCTCAGGGAGGGTACGGGGGAGGGGCCGTTGAAGGCCCAGGCCGACGGCTCGGTGCAGAATAAGGCAGCGCGCATAATGCAGAAGACGTTCAGGACGTTGGCACCCAAAGCGGCATCTTAACTTGCCCTGCTGATGGATGATGCGATGTGACGCGAGCCATCCGTTGCCCCAAGTGCGCAAGGCAGACATGGCCCAACTCTGTGGGACTAGGCGTAGTAGTTCACGGAGTTGTGGCCAAAGAACCCGATCAAGAAAGGGGTGGTAGTCAGTGAAATGCGGGGCCAGGTTTCGCTTCAGCATCTGTGACAAGGGAGAGTGCGCGCACATCTGCGAGCCAAGATAGAGCGCTACTGCACGCTGTCGTTTGGGCCTTCTCGTGGCAACCGCTGCCTCGTCCTGGAGGGCCTGGCGGGCTCCGCATATAACCTCATCCTGGGAAGAGATCTGGATCAACTCGGGATGTTCGATGAATCCAGGAGACTTCCAAAATTTGGGGTAAATCCGAGTACGGTCCAAACATGATACCGGAGTAGGGTCGAAGCGACCATCGTCAATCTCGCGTTGCCAACGTATGACAGTGCTGCGCAAGAGCTGCAGGTAGTTGCCATGGCCATCGAATGTATGTGTGGCAGCCCGAAGCAGGGCGGCAGCGCGCAGTCCACGGTGGGAGCAGCTGCCCCCCCCCCAAGAAGGCAGCCCCAGAATCGATTCGTTCGAGAGACCACGCGGAGCCCGTAGCACCTGAGAGAGCGCACCACGTTCGATCGGGAGAAACCACTCGGGCACCGGGATGAACTGGGCAATATAGGACAGGCACGGGTACACGCGGGCACGATGCAAGATGCAGTTCGTGCTGACAGCAGCCGCCCCCCTCCCCGACGTGCGCGCTCGTGTGCGAGCCTTCCCCAGCGCGGCGTCCAAGCACAAGTCGATCGTGGCCTCGGGGCCCAGAATCATACCTAGATACAGCGTGCACCCCTCGGTCGAGAAGCCTCCCCACTCAGAGGAAACCTGCGCTAGTTGAGCCTGTGTCATGGCACGTGGCGTAGCCGTGATCTTGCCGACGAGGGGGGCGAGAGTGCACTTGCTTATCTGAATACGCAGGCCCGCGAGCTTTTTGCATCGCGCCGAGGACGCGGACCAGAATCTTAAGCGAAGCCATCTCATACAAAACTGCACCGAGGTCGTCAGCACACGCACGACATATCCCTAACGAGCGGCGTTCGACACTGTGCACGAGATCGGCAAGCATGGGAGAGGAGGCCAGAGCGTAGAGAGATCCAGACAATCCACATCCCTGGATAATCCCAGACCTGACCCATAATATAATAGTATACGGAGATCCATCAGCTATGACGACTTCCACTGCCAGACACATCCAAGAGATAAAAGGCAATGCTCTCGTCTGGTAACCCGAGGCGGCCCAGCAGCTGGAGCAGGAAGGATTGGGAGAGACAGGGAAAGGCTCGCCCATAATCGAAGCCGGCCAGGATGGGGGAGCGCCGAGAGGCGAGAGGATGTTGTAAAGCCTCGCTGCGACGCAGGGGTAACCGCCTTGACTACTGGCTCGAGGATGCGATTCGTGACAGAGCTAAGAACCTTTACGTCAGCGTTTCCCAATCCAAGAACAGGGCATCTGT